CCCTAAAAAACACCAAATCCGCGCGATTTGTGAGGTGGGGAAGGGGGTTGCGATACATCCAATGCCCCTTAAAAACGCCACCGGTTGGAGAGAAGTGATGTGTATAGCAGTTGTAAACGCATAGGTAATGTATGTTATTGATTTTTGAAAGTTTACTTTTTCCGGTCTAGTTATTCCGTTTACGTGTATATAGTTACGACACGTATCTGGCTATAAGGCCACGGCGTTTAACTATTGTACACGACCGACGCATATCGGAACGCATTAGGTGCGTTTTCTTTTCTGCCTTATAATAAACTCACTAACGCGGTTGTTTTTCTCGCCAATTTTCTCGTCCCGTTCGTTCTCGTCGTACACAATAATAATAATAATACAGTTTAAGTGAGTTATTGCGATATTATAACGATAGGTAGGTAGATACTACGCATACAATATCGTGAAAACGGGTCGAGAGTTGGACGAACTGCTGCGCGTGTTGGCGAGTAAACTTTTATACGGGACAAAAAAATAAAAAAATACCATGTGCGGTGGAGTGCGTTTGTGGTGTACGTGTGTGTACACCTATATATAGTATCGCCTACCTACTCCTTACGGTTTGTTTACGGTTCATTAGCGTTATTGGCGAACGCTATAAATGTACGTCTGCCGATCGGTAGGTGGCGCTCGCGGGGAATGGAATACCGAGTGTTTACGGCGACTGACAATCACATGACAAATTGCAATATAATGTCTGTTCGATAATGATGATGATGATCAATGCGTGTATAATATGCGGTCACTTCTAATGTGTGTGTGTGTGTGTGTGCGGGGTGTTTTTTTGGCGTATAATACACTGCAGACATCTGAGTTCCTCCAAATGTATAATCATATAATGTATGATGTCTCGTACACTTTTATAATATTATTGTCTTTGGAATTTGAGCCACAAAGCGCTAGATCTTTCCGCCTCAAGCCCTTAATAGATTTATGCTTGTCTTTACAAAGGATGTAAACTATATGTGATTTATATACAATGCATCACCGTGTAACTTTTCTCGTATAAAATAATATATTGTTAAACCCATATCAGCGAATCCTATAAATCTGACTACCTATATTATACTCGTATACATTTATAAATATGAGATTTACGTTTTTGGACTAGAATTTTTATGTTCGATTATGTTTTTATTACAGCGTCATTTTACAAATTCGGTTTGTGATGTCCACGAATTTACTGTATATATTGATACAAATGATTTTAGATTTCTTCATATTATCTATTGCATATTTTAACTATATAAACACCAAAAAACGCATGTATTATAGTATTTTTAAATGAAAGTCTTTGTTAAGGGAAAATGTTACGCTGAAAATGTTAATTCACTATAATTAGTAACTTTGGCATCAGCGAATATTAAAATAGAAATATATCATGAATAATTAAAATTCGTTAAACGGAAATGAATTTATTTGAGAGTAAAACTATTTAGCTTACATAAAATTTAACATTGGTGTTTTATATTTTTAAATAAAAAAATGCTTTACTTTCACTTAGATTAAGATAGTTTAATTTCAATATTATTTAATAAATATTGAATTTTTAATATTAAATACTAATTCAATTTTTAAGATATTTACATTACATAGATATAAAATTTAGAAACTATCTTAGACTTTAAAGAAACACGAATACATATAAATTATTAAATTATTACGACCCTTAAATATTGTAGTATTTAATTTCAAATATATTACTATAGAATAAAAAGCTATAGTCAATAACACGATGATACACTTGTATAGAAAAATACGAAGACAAAACCGACACTTGTGTGTATTTATCATACTTTATTGATACTTGCGGAAGAAAGGAATAGTGTGAAATTCTGCTGTGCACACAATCTGAAGTATCCTATTATATAATATTTCGTATTAATTTATTTAGCTTTTAATCGATATACATGTGTAGGTTCTATCTTTCGGTAGTATTATTATGTGAATATGGTGAAAATTATTCCATCTACCGTGCCTTCCACTTTGGTTTAAACATTTTTCATTTGATTTTTTTGCATTTCTTTCGATAATTCACGCCTTCTCATATGTAGCAAAACTAAGCATATAGTATACCGGAAATAAAACAATCATAATATAATATAATCGTGACGACACATGTGCGGTCGTCTGGACCATCAACTTCACCCACCGCGGTGTCAAGATTAGCATCGGACACGCGACTCCGGCCCGCTGTAGTATAGGTATATCAATTCCCTTATATTGGCAGAGATCGGTTATTCACGTGCCAAATTTATTTATATATACCTACCGCGTAATACATACCGCTTATATATATATTTAAGTAAATTTATGATAAATGTATATTATATACCTTATACACGCGTTTCCTCGATACCCGTTTTTGGATTCTGAAAAATAACACGATTATGTATTATACGCGTATAATATATAAACAACGTGTTTCTTTATTTTTATCGTCTTTGCGGAGGTTTGTTTGGGGGTGTGTAATCATAATACAATACAAGCAATGATGTTCAAGTTTTATGCAGTGTACCTACCTATATAGATATATTGTATGGGTTGCAATAAATCACACGTTGTTTATACGAAACGTATTTTACAGTGAGCAGTCACTATACTAAATTATAAAGATTTATCGGCTATTTAAACATCAATATTGTGACGCTATTATAACGGCGATGGGTATTCGTTCTTTTCTCGTGGCAAATAAAAAATAAAAATCGAAATTAATTCCGCTCATATAGGTCCATATCTCACGTTATATCGTGAGTCGTGACTATATCACTAGAAATTATAAATCACTGTACAGTACATTATACCACCTAGTTTCTCCTACCAACACCTTTGCCTTATACGTGTGTGCAAAAAGAAACCGATATCTCTAGTTTTTATTGCTCATAGGTCGTATCGTGTGAAGCCAGAAAAATAAATAAAATCTACGACAAAAGTGTGTTGTAGCGTGCGTCGAAGCTCCGTTTTTATATTGTATTAAAATAATAAATAATATATGTGTATACACTATTATTGAACGAATTATTATCGAACGCGTTGTGTGTTCGTACATTTTCCAATATGGTGTTGAGTATAATAAAAATAATATAGTCCTAACTAATGTGATCTGTACCTATATTACACTGACGGAGACCTCACATCTCACTGTCGTATTACATTTCTCTGCCTGACAGAACCACATTCGGAGCCAAAGTTTATTTTATTATTATTTATGATTATGATTAAACCGAAATTCATTAAACTGTAATTAACTGTAATATACAAACGTATAATAGCATGATCAATATACTGAAACATTTAATTATAATAAATAATAATAATAATAATAATAAAAAAAAAAAATGATTATAATTATTATTATTATTGTATTATACATACTTTTGACACACTAACGGTCCACACCTACCTACAAACTACTTGTATACATGATTACTTCACGTTATTATTTTCAAAATATTATTTAAAATCGATTATTGTATAATGAATCACTGAAATTGAGAAATTTGAAAGGTGGGTATACTCGCAGTCCTCTTTGAACCAAATATATTTTTGTTTCGAGGTTAGATTTTTTTATTCACATAGTTTTTTTCCAAATAAATTCGAATAAACACTTATAGACGAAAGCGTCCATTTATCGTAAACGTAGTTATAGTTTTTTGTTTATTACCGTCGAAACTTTTATATATTTTTTATTATTATTATTCGTTTTATTAGTTATTGATCTTTTTTTCATTGGCATTTTTAAGCCATTTATATAAAACTCCGTCAATACTAAAATCGTAATGTTTTTTTTTTTTTTTTTTAATTTATCATTAAATCAGTTAGGTATATTATAAAAATGAAGAAATTATGGAATACGCACAATTATATATTTTAGTATTTCTCGTAAAGCAAAACTACTATTTAAAAACTCGTTTAATTTATTTAAATTGGTTTTACATCACATCCGATTTGACCTCGGACAGCAGGTAGATGTGTTTTTAAAACCTATTATAGAGTTTGTAAAACAATCGCTAAACTCTCTCTTTCCACAGACGATCAAAACAATTGGTCCGTTTGCGAATAAACGCGATCACGCCATTTAAAAATACTATAACAATGATAATGAACGAATCGCTGCAACCTTGTCTGGAGGCAACCTCTTGCCGGTGTGCCCATGGCGTATGATAATAGTACAATTTATTCTAATATATACAACCCATTCGTTCTCCGGGGCGCGTTGAAATTGAAAACAAAACAACATACCAAATATAAACGTATAACTCGGGAGGCTCTTATTATATTACATTGTCCAAGGCATGGTGATTTCTCGCGACGATTTGTATCGTTGTTAAAATACTCATAAAACATAACACGCGGTCGGGTCTGCAGCAGCAGTAGCTTGCGACCTATACCGCTGCTACTACCCTCCTAGAGGGGTGTATGTGGATTTCCCGCCAAACTCATCGCGCCGTCATAACAGAACGCTGCGCACAAAACACCCCTGCGACATACGCTTACTGGCGTACTTACATTCACGTATACCCCTTATATGTATATTGCATATTATAGTCTAGCTACCGCGTGACTACGAACGTGAAATATCACGTTGTCGAGCAATGCCCAAGGGCACGAAGACTACGAGTTGCCTTGGCAACTCCCCTATTCAACAGGGTGGTGGCGGTGATATCGCTCCTCCTCGCGACCGCGAACCTATACTTACTTGTCAGCTGTTCGACACACACACGCGTACACACATACGACTGGTAAATTACAGAACGCATTATAATATTATATTATAAAGCAATAGTATGCCACTGCGACGCGTGGCGTACGCGTGCCGGAAACGTTGTCCGGACGCTCGCGTCTCCCGCGCGTATTTAATCGTAATAATATAAACCATATTTGTGATTTACGATCAAACGGCGTACTCTGTCTTCGTAATATATAATAACATCAATAATAATACATTTTTCTTTTACCGTTTTTAGAATTTCCAATTTCGATCATGGACGGCGAGATCGCTGCCTCCGCCGCCGCCGTAATCGATGAAATACCAGTCAAGGTCCCGTTAAACTTGAACGTCGAAGAAGCCACGGGTGGTTGTGGTAGCGACAGTGGCGTAGATGTGACGCCGGCAGTGTCATGCGACTCAAGCCTGGCGTCGGGCTGTTACGACCCGTGCAAGAGCCCGCTGGGCCCGTTCAGTCCGACGGAAACCGGTGGTCCTTCCTCGTTACCTTGTTACCCAACCACCATCGGCTACAGCAGGCCGTCCACGCCGACTTGGCGTAGGTCTGCTGATCGGCAGCCGTGCAAGTTACCGAACAGCATGTCATCGTCGTTTCATTTCGAGACGGCCAGAAACAGCCCACCCAGAGCTGAACCACCGAAGAAAACCGACCTGAATGCAGCAGCCAAACAGTCCAAAGTGTCGACAGTCAAGAAGTTGGTTAACACATACGACATGGTCAAATCGTTGGACAGGTACGCCACGTTGCCCAGGCGGAGGAGAAAGTCCAAAGAAAATCTCGCTGTAAACTCAGTCACACCAGCCGGTACTACCACGGTCGTCCCTACGACGCCCAGAGAACCCAGTCTGAACCGGGCGGCAAGTCTGAGGAGAAAACACATCGAACAGGGTGCCCTCGCCCACCTAAACAGTGGTGGTGCAGGTAGTAGTGGTGGTAATGGTATTATTTCCGGTACCACATCGCCGGCGAAATCAGTACTTCCGAAAGCCACCAGGCCGCCGCCGGTGGCCGCCAGGACGAAGATATACCACGAGGTGTGCTCGCAGACCTGCCTGACTGGCGAAGACATCACCAAAGTGCTATCGGGCAGTTTATTGCCTGCGATTGAAAACAGGGTTGAAACTAATGACGCTGAAGTACAGGTTGGTTATTTCTATTCCCGTGCATGTGAACCAATTATCGTTCTCTGTAAACGTTTTCTAATTTATTTTACGTATTTATCACTGTCTAGGTCGATTTAGTGGAAAAAAGGATCAATGCACTTGAGACTGAGCTAAAGGAAAAGACTGAACAATTAGACTGTAAAACAAAAAAATTCAATGAACAACAAGAGTGCCTTAAAAATTTACAAGAACGGCTGAATCATGAAGATTTAGACACGTGTAGACAAATTGATGCCTATAGTCTGCGACTATGCAACATTTTTCAAATTAATGGTAATATTTGTGTATTTTTTATGTCTTAAAAAATAAATACTAAGCGTTTGTATTATATATATTATTGTTTTAGATTGTTTGGATCCATCACCTTCAAATATTTTAGAAATATTAGAAAATCAAGTGACAACCACTTCCTCAATGATCAATGACCAGCAAAAAGAACTCAACCACCTTAAAACTCTTTGTACTTCTTTACATAAAGTAAGTTACAAAATAAATTAAAATATTTATTTTACATTTTGGTATTTACTTCTATTATAGGATTTGGAAAAAAGCTATGCAGCTCAAAAATCACTTTTGCAAGCCAATCAAGCTTCTGAAATGGAATCCTCAGAAATTCAAGATTTTTTGCAAGCTGAGAAGACTATGCTATCAGATACAATTAAGGAATTAGAAAAAGAAGTATGTTTTTCATATGTTATGATTTATTACTATAAACAAGTACTAATCGATTATATTATGCATATTATTAACGAAAACATAAAAATTTTCAAAATTATGACCATAATGTGTACAATAAAATAGTTTTTAAGTTTGTAATCTTATTAACGGTTTTCATTATAGGTTAAGGATTATAAAGAACAATTGGTTGTTAAAGAAAAAGAGGCTTCTAAAATTATGGAGCAATGTACACATTTAGTACGAATATCTGAACAACGAAGACAAGAGAATTTGTCACTACAAACAAAAATGCGTGTGATGGAAAATAAAAGTCGTGAATTGTTACAACAACAAGAAGCAACTGCATCCAGTGCTGTTGTGGGTCTATCTGGATTAGGTAGTCGTCTCGATGCATTATTGGATAGACTCATCAAATCTTATTCCATTTCAGAAGTTGATATTGAAGTATGTACTTATTGTATTTATTGAGTGTTAACCAATTGTCATTTAAATATTTATTTGAAACCTGAACATTTTTATTCGTAGGATGAAGTATACTTCAATGAAGCATACACAAATGGAGACAGCAGCAGTGATTCTGAACAACTTAATGGCTCATCAAATAAGTCTGACTCAAAAAGCCTTATGTCTGCTATTGTCTCTGCTATTAAATCAGCACCAACCAACTGGCATAAAGGGAAATTTGATAAAAACCTTGCAGGTAAATATTGTTCCTAATCATTTATACATAACTTTATTTTCTTATCTCTAATTGTATACCTAATTAATAATTGTTGTTTAGCAAGCACAAATTTACAAGAATCTCCTATTAATTCTCCTATCAAACGTCTACAAACGTCAGAATCTATGAAAGAACTACAGAGAACAAATTCTCCAATTATTAATAAACGAAACGTATCAACTGGTGACCTATTATCACAAACTGATTCCTTAGACGGTATACATATGTTTTGTTAATTATCTTTTAAAATAAACTAATCAAAAAATATTTTGTATTTATTTTATTAGGTAGTTAATACTAAGATGAGAATTTATGTTTAATCATTAGCAATTATTTATCCTTTGATTTTAGATTGTAGTGATTTACAATCGGCCGAAAGTGAATCCTTGAATAATCTGTCGGAGGCCATAGTCGCCAGACAACAATTGGAGTTGAGCATGAACAATACTAGCACTGGAAATTTTGACTTTGAATTTTTAGAGGACTTCCGAGCACCAGATGCTGATCTCTTAGACCAAGTGATTGACTTAGACAATACGGTCACCAAGTTATTAAAAGTCATCACTCTTGTTCAGACAAATGGCAAAGAACAATCTGTACACTCGGAGAGGTAAATATATTCAATTGTACGTTTCATACAAATTTGGTTTAATTTTTAATATTATTTTTTTAGACATGAAATCAAATACACAAATGGTGTCAATGGTAATAGCAAGCAGTATTCCTCGCAGTCCCCATTGATACATGACAATGATGAATCAAGTTATAAACGGCCACCAATAGTACCTATGCAGGAACTAAACCCAAGCTCACCAAAAGCTTTAAATGGAATTATGTGATGACTAATTTTAATTTTTGCACTATACATGTGTGTTTTATTTTTTTTTTATGTATAAATATTACATTAATATTATTTTAACCGTCTATTATTATATAATAGAATATTATATTTGTTTACATGTGCGTTTGATCAATTATTACCGTAACCTAACACATTAAATATTATTCCTGATTGCATTCTAAAGTCCAAAGTCACTTCCGCTGCAGTTTAAGCGACCGCATAGCATGTAGAATTGATTCAAAAATATTTTATTGCCAAATGTAAGAAAACAATAGCATGGCAATGCATGATGATGTATTATTTTGCCAATTCAAGGACAAAAAACTACATCCACGCAGTTGTACGTCGTGTTTGTGTAAGTGCACAAAATAAGCTATTTACTCCGTGCGATTGAAAACTAATAAAATCTGTCGTTTCTGAGGGCTGAGGCCGAGTTAAAATATATTTATATAATAAATGTGTTATGTTGCGAAAACAAAAGTCAAAGAAATTAAAAAAAACACCGCAAGTGATAGCCAATAAAGTGAGATTTTGTTTTATATTATATATAAAGTATTAAATATAATATATATATATATATATATATATATATATATATATATGTTTATTATATGTTAAAGTCACGTTAACGGCCGGGCAACAAACCTATGTCAACAATACTCGACGAGCATTTTTAATTTCGAGGAACTGCGGTTTTTCGTTTTTTTTTTTATTTTTCTCTCACGCGGTCCATGCCAGTATTATATTTTGTATACACTCCTCCGGAGTGTGTCGTGTATCGTACGACACGTACTTCTCGGGGGGGTAACGGACGACTTGATGTGTGATGCGACTATTATTTCAATCTGAGCGACTGACAACTATTATTATTATCACGACAATAATACGACGACGCCGAGGAGATCGCAGAGCCCCGAGGTAGGCAACGATAATGACGTGTCGTCGTTGAATAATAATAATATATTACAGTCCGACGGGTTTCTCTAGACAGCGGGTGCAGAGCGGGTACTACGAAGCCCCGACCGCTCGTCTAGAAACGGTTTAACGTAGTTATATCGTATTTACGGCGAAGGATTACCACACTCTGTATTTTAAACACCGCTACTGCGTCCGTAAACAACACTACGCGGCTGTTTACATCCGGAGGAGGAGGCGCCGCCGCTCGTAAATCCCGAGAAACAGTGCTTGTCTCGCGAGTCGTGACGGCCTTTCGACAAACCGGCAGACCACTGCGGGCGTGTATTTTCCGACAATCGTGTCGAAAATAGACCCATCCTTACGCGTGATACGCATTAAGTGATATGGCCTATGAAACAATACGTTATACACTGTACAGATAGGTGTAAGTAAAACGTTGTATTTACGTAAAATTATCAAGTGTTTTATTCGTGATTTCCAAGAATTCTAGTCTTGAACGCGGACGACACGAGATTAGTGGTTACGTCATAGCTGTTATTAATGTTTATCGAAAAATTGATGATTCGATCTTTTGGATCCAAACAAGTACCTACGTATTTAATGCTGCGTGAAAAACGTAGGCGTATTTCAGAAAAAAAAAAAGTTAATGAAAAAGTAATTTAAACTTTAATCTACCGAGTTTTTTGTTGTCGTACCTATTCTTTTATTCTCGTGGTTAATGATAATTCTACTCAGGGACGGATCCAGGAGGGAGGCCCAGGGACCCAGTCCCCTCAGACATATTATCTCTCAGTTTTTTTTATAATTCTACAGATCCTGATATTACTATATATTTCAAATCACATATACCTACGTCTGATAATGTAATATATGATATAAAGTAAATATATATTATTATATATATATATTGGAAAAAGCGAAAATGTAAATATAGACGTTTAGATTTTATTATTTAATTTATAAATATTATATTACATTAAATAATCATTAATTAATTAATTATATTGATTACCTATAGGCTATAGGTACCTATTATTATGACAAAAATTGTGTAAGTTCCCCCCCCCCCAGATCTCTGCTCTGAATCCCAGTGCCTGATTCTACTTAACAACTCCCAATTATTATAATTCATTATTAATTTAAACAATATTAATTATTATAATTTATAAGTATGTCATAATTCAATGCTACTTTACTTTTGTTCGGAACGTTTGGATTCAACGGATGCACGAATAAAAAATAATAACGAATATCACGTATGTCGTACGTACACTAATTATTCGTAATGTGCTCGACTAGTTAAATGACTTCTTCTTGTGTTCGGTTATTGTTCACAGACGTCCAACTGTTCTCGACTAAATATTATAATACACACTGAAGTGGGGAGAGGGACTTATAGCATGGTAATTAGTAAGTTAATACATTAAATTAGAGGAAGCAATGCTAATGCTGTCCCCTCGTGTGGTGGTTAAAAAAAAAAACGTGTACCGTACAAGTTAATATGTATTTGTTTTATTGTAAATTATTATTGTCTATATTAATAAAAAAAAAAAAAAAAAATGTTCTTGATTGGACCGCAAAAATTAATTTTCACACCGCTAACATATATGTATGTACAATTAAAATAATAATAAAAAAAAAAAATCCCTTTATAAATTCGTTTATTTGGGTATTTTCACACATATTGATATTTAGTATTCAAACAAAACAGCAGTCGCAGTGCAGTCTATTGAAAAAAAGTACTACTTCCGTATTTACTCAATTATGTTAAATTGTATTACGCCTGCAGTAGGAGTGATTTGTGACAAAACGTTAATAAAAAAAAAAATTCATTGCTAAAAGGATTTTATTTTTACATCCAAGTTCAGCATAACGACGACGGCAAGTCTGATAGGGTCAATAGGTGGTTATCTACTTAATATCACGTTCTAGTCATCTTCTATTTAATGTATCAATGTTGAAGTACGCATAGTGCTCTAACCTTCAGCGGCAGTAATAAAACAGAGAAGTAATCTTCCGATCAAATAAGATTTCATCCTCCGCAATAGTTTATTATATTATATTATTCATCTTACAACTAAACACTAAACACTAATTTACCATATATATGATAATAGATATATATAGACAAGCGTGTTTTAAATTTAATACCTACTTGATATCAGAAAAAGAAGAAATACGCCATTTCTTCAAACCATTTGAACTTTATCATTTCGAAGTTTGATGTTTTCTAAAATGATTTCGTTTGTAGGTACTGAAAAAAATATTAAATAATAATTTAATGTATAAAAAAAATTATTATAGATAACACTATACCCGCATACTAAATTATCTTCACAAATGTGTGTTCAATAAAATCCATTTTGTGTGTCGTATTTTTTAATAAATACGGGTGACATAACTGACATATCATCAAAAATTTAAATGAAAGAATATTTACTAAACCCGATAATATGAATGTAACTTGTTGGAAAAGATTGGTGACTTGATCTAGGGCAGGGGTGGCGAATCTTTTTTGGGTCAATTGCTAATTTTTTCCAATCAAGGTTTTGAAAATTGTTTGCGTGCTCAAAGGAAATTATATTTTCTAAGGATAAAAATAAAGTTACATAGTAAATATAGTAATAATATAATAATATAACACATTTTACAAAGGAATATTATAATTTTTTAACATAAATGTTTTTCTTTGAATTTCTTATAACTAACATTTCATAAAAAATAGCATAATTTTTAATATTTTTTTTAATTTTTCATGTACCGTTGAAATTTCACCAACGTGCCACCTCTGGCACGCGTGCCATATGTTCGCCACCCCTGATCAAGGGTATCTCCCCCCCCCCATAGGCTTATTGAGATATAAATTAAAAACGAATTCGAGTAATAAAAGCCTACGAAATGCCCTAAATAATATTCTTACCTTTACATTTTATAAAAATCTACTCTGTTATATTACAACCAATAAACCATAATATGGATTGCAAATTATTTCGGATGCGAATTTGCTTCCTTTATTATCCAGTTGTTTGTTTGTAAATTGTAAAACCGATCAAAACGTACTGGTGTAGTAGAATAGGTACTCTATAGTCTATTGATTATCAAACATCACTAGGTACAAATTTAATACGAAAATAATTTAACGGGTACGGGGTAAATACGTACGTGTAATATATTTATCGGATGATTGCATAAGTACGAGTATTTAAAGTAATAAATACGTTATAATTTTGTACATAAACTCATCCAGGACTATATTAAATTTAAAATATAGTCGTTTTATTTTATTTCCAAGTACCTACATACGTGAACGTCTAGAAAACGTGCATCATAAATTGCTATTTTTTTAATATTATGTACCCTGTCAAATTATTTTTCCAACTACTCACCTCGTTTCCGTAGAAGTGCTGGCAAAAATTGTTTTCCAAAAATAATCAAGTTCTTTTCTCAGACTTTCTTTTATGTAGAGTCTACGTTTGTAGTTGTGTTCGTCAGATTGATGTTTTTAGTATTTAAATTCTATTCTATTCCACATATTTTTGATGTGTTGTGTTTAATATCTAGGTTCTAGGTAACCGATAGACGTAGGTTAGGCTTGCCAGATTTTAAAATCACCAAACCGGGACGTCACATTAAAATAACTTTTCTTTTCTTTTTCATAATACGATAATGATGTAATGATATTATGTACAATATTTCAATATTAAATATTATAATATTAAAGTTATTTTAGCTCGGCTTCTATTAACCGGGACAAAATTAATGACCAGCCGGGACACTGGGACATGCTGTTAAAACCGGGACGAATGGCAAGCTTAACGTAGGTAAACCTAGAGAATGGACTCGAGATTTTATTTAAAAAATTTGAGACATAAATATTATTAGTTGACATTATTTTAATCTTAAATATAAAACTGAAGTACATTTGAGAAAATAATAAAAATGTCACCTTCGTAGTAGTATGACAGTAATACAGTATATTATAGTTGGGAGGCTTACGAATTTATTTAATTATTGTTTGTTAGTTATTGTATATTTACAAGTACATCTTATATAAATTATTATTTAAATATATAATACTTTGCAGAATTTTTGTTATAGGACATAGATTATCAACAATTTAATAAAAAAAAATATATATATATATAATATAATGATA